AGATCATGAAACAAATGCACATACATATTTGTGACATGATGTACCTTGTGTGTGTGAAGTTTGAACTTGATCAATCCAGACATGTCTCGGATACGGATCCAGAACTGAATTCTTTAAAACAAAATGGCCGCCAGTCGGCCATTTCGAACCCGATCCAAAAAAAAAAATGACGTGCATCAAGGTCCTATTATGTTTAATGTATGTACCAAATTTGAACAAAATCCGTCCATGCATAACTGAGATCCGGGTCCGGAATGGTGAAAATGTGCGATTTTGATGCATTTTCGGCCTTAAAATGGCCGCTATTCGGCTATCGTTAATCGGATCATGAAAAAAATGCATGTGCATATGTCCCATATAAGGTGTGATGTATGAGTGAAGTTTGAACTTAATCGGTCCATGCATGTTCAAGATACAGGTGATCACGGACGCACGGACGCACGGACGCACGGACGCACACAGGGCAAAACATAAGTCCCCGTTTTCGGACTGCGTCCGAACGGGGACTAATAAGCACTGATTTTAATCAAAACCTGATCAAATCTGCACATTAGCCCAGAGCATCTATGCATCAAGTTTCATCAAAAATCAGCATATGATTCTTGAGATATCAGTGAAACAGATGGACACACACACACACATACAGACAGACAGACAGACAGGCTAACTGCAAAGACTCCCATTGTGTGCGAAGTCAAAAATGGATGCCTCTGAAACCAATATGGTTTCGATTGTATGCCTGAAATGGCTATTTACATCAACTACAATGGCTAACACAAAATCGCACGTACCATACATAGTACAGGTGAGAAATACAGCATATCCACTACGTCAAATATACTGATGACAAATTTCTATACATATATTGTGACCAGGAATCAGTACATGCTAGTTTCTCTGCATGAAAAACTTAGAAATATAACAATGATGGAGAAATGGCTATATGATCAAAACATCATTGCACAGCCATTCTCACAATGCCACAAGCCAGACAATACTGAGATTAACCATACATGGTGCACATAACATCAATCTTCTACACATTATGCATTTATACATGCGTAATGTGTGGTGTTACTGAAAGCTTCAAATGTACTTACCCGAAGCCCAACTGGGTAGGGTTATGTATTGGTTCCGGTTGTGGTTGTGGTTGTGGTGGTGGTGCAGTACTAGCAATAGGTGGTACATCTAAAACATTAGATACTGCTCTCTGTAAATCCCATTCATTTTGCTCCAATAGCATAATACATTCATCTAAGTTGTCCAAGCCAGTACAGGCCTGCAAACAAAAATACATGTACAATTTATTTCATTTTATTTAGAATTTATTTATAGTGGGTAGCCTGTTTGGACCATGGGTCTATCTTCCCAGCGGTAATCTCCTATTTATTTTCACGAAGATACAGTGCGTAAAACATGGAGTTGAGAGGGCCAAATTTGCCTTACCACATACTTTAAAATACCTGGCTTTTTTGAAGGGAGCTTTTTTAACTCCACAATGTACCCATGATTGCAAACACTAATTGAGTATCAGCAGTATTACTTCTAAGCCTTATATTAGCAAAATATTCTCAGTGTTGAGGAATCTGAGGAAATTACTTTTCTAATCAAGTACACTTGGTTCAAGTTTTGTTTTTTTTAGATGAGATCACATTTCACAGTGACAAGTTTGATTAGGGAAAA